ATATGACATGGATAAGACTGTTCAGCTTTTCATTCTTCTTGTGCTCTGTTCTTTTAATCTATATCAAGTCCATATGTCCTGTATTTTTTGTTGCTTAACATAATATGAGTTTCTATGGTAATGGAGGGAGTTTGTGTTGTTGCATGCAGATGGCTATTATTCCACGTCCTCCAGTGGGGCATGGATGGCTAAGACCTGCAATAGGAGTGGTGGAACTGTCTCAGAGTATTGTTCAAGTTAGTTTTTCTAGAGACCAGTACTCTTCTGAAAGATTATCACTAGTTTCTACAGCATTATGTGCAACTGTGCTTACCCGTCTTATCAGCATATTTCTTATCGTTTTCTTCTCTTTTTCCCTATTCCAGCAGAATGCAAGAAAATTAAATTTTGTGATAAATTGTGGGATATCATCTGGTGTACCTTAACCATGATTTTGACTGTGATCATCCTCTAATGGCTCTATGTTTTTCTGCTTAAAGTATTCAATCATATTATCTATAGACATAATTATGGATACATATTCATATGGGCATCATTGCAAATTCTTGTTTAGTGTCAAATATTGTTGAGTTTCATGCATTAAGATAATAAGGTCAATTTCTTGTCAGCATTCATTTTATTTCTCAGTTGTTTCGATGAGGATTTTATGCACAAAATTTTAACTTCTGACAGCTATTTGTTTGGGAGTCGGAGGCTGTTTTCATCCCTTCTAAAAAAGTTTAGGACCTAGGAAGTCCAATGAACTACTCAAATTCATTTACTTACAAAGCTGGCATTGTTTTTCTTTCCTACTCTCATTTCTAACGCACTTAACTGTTATTGATTCAGGCAGTACCTCTCAGCGCAAGGAAAGCAGCAGGTGGATCCAGTGAAGGGTATGCACCATTTTTGCAGCTGCCACACTTTAGCGAGGCTGTCGTTAAAAAGATAGCAAGAAAGGTTGCAATTATTGCTTTTCATCTCTACCTCAAATTTCCTAATCACATCTGCTTCTTATTGAATGTTGGAATGGAGTTTGTTGTTAATCATCTATATTGCATCTCTGATTGGTTTGTTGGTGGTGTTTGGGAAGTTTTTGCCTTCTTATGGTTTTAAATTTTCGTTGAATTCTATAGTTAGTCCCGTTGACATAACTCAAAAAGAGGTCTTGAGTAGAGACGATCCAAAATGTGTTGAGATTAATAAAGAATAAAACAACAGACTTTGAGTGTACAGGATGTTGATTTTCCATTACAGAGGATTGTTAGTTGTAGCTGCTTATCTGAACTTGTCTCTATACAGTGTTCTTAAGATAGTACTTCGGTTTATCCAAATATTTTGTCTGCAATAATTTTTACTCTCCAATAATATTTATCAGGAAAATTTAATTTAAACTTAATAATGGTTGAATGTTTTGATTGATGCACTTAGCTGTATGGTGGTTACTTTCATGACTCCTCGGTATCATGAAAGATGCTCTGCTTCTTTTTTTGATCAAGTGGTGTTTTGACAATTTTGAGTTTACTGTTACACTTTTAGCATGTTACAAATTTATTCTTTCAATAGTTAAAGTTTGACATGTGCTTTGAGTGTGTCAGTGGCTAGTCTATGCAATGAATGCTTTCACTGTGAAGTCTTAATGACATCTCTAATCAGTTTCTTCTTTCTTTATTTCCTTGTGCAAAGTCTGAGAAACTGGTGTGAACCTGATTCACATTTATGGAACCATGAAAATCATAACTTTATGAGGTCTTTTGGGATTACCTTGGAATATTTATGTTAGTGGTGTTTCTCTTGTAGTCATAAGTATATCGTGGACTGTCCTAATTAATGAATTCAATATGTACATTGGTTGTGCGGCTTTCAGGTTAATTTATCCTGGAGTGTTAATTTTCCATGTTTCTATTCATACTGATGCAGCTTCTTCCTTTACCTGTGACGCGAATGGTGTGCAGCCTCTTTTTTTACCCCCTTTCATGTGGCAGCATGCTTGTATTCATTAGGAAGAATTAGCGCAGGCTTGTCAAGTGAAGCCTTTTGTTTTAAATATCCCTAACGCTTTTTTCTATGGACAGAAAGTTCGTACATTTCAAGACTTCCGTGACATGACCCCGGATGAACGTGCTGATCTGCTGACTCAAGTTGCTGGGTTCTCCAATGGTGAATCCCACGATGTGGAGATGGTTCTTGAAATGATGCCTTCAGTGACAATTGATATCACATGTGAGACTGAAGGTGAGGAGGGAATTCAAGAGGGTGACATCGTTACCATGCATGCTTGGGTCACTCTTAACCGTGGTAGTGGCTTGATACGCGCCCTTCCACATTGTCCATATTTTCCTTTTGACAAAGAGGAGAATTTCTGGCTGATGCTTGCGGACTCCTTTTCGAATGATGTGTGGCTCTCTCAGAAGGTTAGTTTCATGGATGAAGCTACATCGATAATTGCTGTATCAAAAACAATTCAGGAGTCAAAGGAAGGGTCTGGTGCAAGTGCAAGGGAAATAAATGTTGCTGTTAAAGAAGCAATTGAGAAAGTGAAAAATGGTTCAAGACTGGTAATGGGGAAGTTCCAAGCTCCAGCTGAAGGGAACTACAACTTGAGCTCTTTCTGCTTATGTGACTCTTGGATTGGTTGTGATGCAAAGTCGAATATAAAGTTAAAGGTTATGAAACGTAGCAGAGCTGGAACCAGAGGTGGTTTCGCAGCAGATGAGACTCCTGCCATGGAGGATGGAATTGAGGAGGACGAGGAAGAAGAAGAAGAGGATTTCGATGATTATGAAAGTGAATACAGCGAAGATGAAGACGATACAAAGGAAACAAAGAGTAAAGGAGCTGTGGCCAATGGCTCTGCCCATAACAAGGGCAACAGTTCAGGTTCTGATGAATCTGGTTCAGAAGCCGACTAACTTCCTTTCTTGGCTAGTTTTTGTTCTCCTAATTTCCCCGTTGACATGATATTCCAATTCTCCGGGGAGAAGACAAGACGAAACCAGTGAGAAAACATCCTCTCACTCCAAACGTTTGGGGAACTGGGGTCGTGGAGAGGCAGGTAAGAAGAAGAGTATTTAATAGTGTTTTATCCTCCTTTACATACTTTGGACCGTCTTTCTTCCGTTGATATACTTAGAACAGTTAGTACTGTAATTTGACATGAATAATAGCATTGTACTCTTTATAGAGCTTAAATTAGTCCTTTTTGGTCCGACTATAGATGGTTCTTGTCGTTATGACATTCATTTTTGCTTGTTATCGCATGCTTAAGCTACATGTTTATACAGTAATTGCTTTTCTTTTGGTGACTGCTTACGCTTAATTTACTTTGATTTGATTGTAAACCAAAATTAGTGGGGGTTTTCACTCACATTTTTCGTACTTGGGTCTGGTGATCTCACTAGCGACACTGTGTTAGTGTTCTCAATGTACCCGCTTTAATAAACTGCCTGGGTATATCTGCTAAAAAGAAAATATTAGAAGACATTTTTAATCTGCTTAAAAGTTGGTCAAGTTTATTCTTTTAGCTTTTGAGAATGTTTGGGAAAGTTGAAAGTAACTTTGAATTTTTTTTTAAATGACTTAAAAGAAGTTAAGAATAAAAGTGGGACTCCTACTTTTCAATTTTTTTGCTATAGTTCATTGATTTTTGATGATTAGAAATTTTGACATTATTTTTGTCGAATATTTTTGTGAATGTCCGTTAAGACCTTAGCTATGAAACATGTTGACCCTGATGGCCAAAGTGGTCCATTTACTAGGTTGAACGAGCCTCGGAGTCGATAAAATCCTCATATTGCTAATTTTTGTGTACTATAGTCCATTTACTTTTTGGTGATTTAGAACTTCGAAGTTATTTCTGCCAAAAATTTTCGCGGGAGTCCATTATGACCTTAGCTATGGAGTTGGTTGTCCGTGACAGCCAAAACGACCTATTTATAAGGTCAAAATGTACCTAAATAGGTAAGCCCCCTATTTTGCTGATTTTTTTGTGCTATAGTCCATGAATTTTTGGTGATTGTCAATTTCGACGTCATTTTTGCCGTAATGTTTCGTGGATGTCCGTTAAGACCTCAGCTATCGAGCTAGTTAGCTCTGATGGCCAAAACGTCCCATTAAGAAGGTAAAAAATAGCCCCCGAGCAGGTAAATCCCACATTTTGTTGATTTTTGTATTATGGTCCACAATTTTTTGGTTATTTAGAATTCCAACGTCATTTATACAAAATTCTTTTGTGGAAGTCCGTTAAGACCTTAGTTGTCGAGCTAGTTGGCCTTGATGGTCGAAACAACCTATTTATAAGGTCAAACTATAGCCTGAGAGCAGCTAAAACCCCCATTTCACTGATTTTCGTGTGCTATATAGCCCATGACTTTTTGGTGATCCAAAATTCCGACATCATTTTTGCCAAAATTTTTCGAAGACGTCCGTTAAGACCTTAGCTATTGAGGCAGTTGGCCCTAACAGTCAAAACGACCCATTTACAAGGTCAAACGAGCCCCTAAGCTGGTAAACCCCTCATTTTAATGATTGTGTATTATAATCCACTATTTTTTGGTGATCTCGAATTTTGATGTTATTTTGTCAATTTTTTTGTGGACGTTCATTAAGACCTTAGCTATCGAGGTAGTTGGTCTTGTTAGCCAAAACGACCCACTTACAAGTTCAAACGAGCGGTATAGTAGGTAAACCCCAAATTTTACCGATTTCTGTGTGCTATATAATTCATAGATTTTTGGTGATTCAAAATTTTGATGTCATTTTTGCTGAAATTTTTTGTGGACGTCCATTCAGACCTTAACTATGGATCCAGCTGGCCCTGACGGTAAAAAAACCCATGTACAAGGTCAAATGACCACTAGAGCAGATAAACCCCTATTTTGCTGATTTTCGTGTGCTATAATCCATGATTTTTTGGTGATCATGAATTTCGACATCATTTTTGCCGAAATATTTTATGGATGTCTATTAAGACCTTAGCTATCAACTGAGTTGACCCTAACGAACAAAAATACCTATTTTGAAGGTCAAGCGAGCCCCGGAGCAGGTGAACCTCCCATTTTGCCGATTTTCGTGTATCTATAAATTTTTGGTGATCCAGAAATTCGACGTCTTTTTTGATAAAATTTTTGTGGACGTCCGTTAAGACGATAGGTATGAAGTAAGTTGTCCCTGATGGCCAAAATGATCCAGTTTCAAGGTCAAACAAACCGCAAAGCAGGTAAACTCCATTTTGTCGATTTTCGTATACTATAGTCCTAGACTTTTCGTGATCCAAAGTTTTAACGGTTTTTTGTCTAAATTTATCGTGGGCGTCTGTTATGTCGTTATCAATGTAGCCAATTGGTCTTGACGGTCAAAACGTCCCATTTTGAACATCAAACGAGCCCCAAAGCAGGTAAACCCCTCATTTTATTGATTTTTATGTTCTATAGTCCATGATCTTGTTTGGTAATCCAAAATTCCAATGTATTTTTTGCCCAAATTTTTTGTGTAAGTCCGGTTAAACGTTAGTTATGGATCCAGTTGTCCATAATGTCCAAAACAACCTATTTTGAAGATCAAACGAGCCCCGAAGAAGGTTAAACCCCATTTTTTCTGATTTTCGTGTGCTATAGTCCATATATTTTTGGTGATCCAGATTTCCAATGTTTTTTTTGCTCAAATTTTCTGTTGACGTCCGTTATGACGTTAGTTATGGATATAGCTGACTCTGACGCCCAAAACAACTCATTTTAAAGGTCAAATAAGCCCCAAAGCCTGTAAACCCCATTTTCCCGATTTTCGTGTATTATAGTTCATGAATTTTTAGTGATCCAGAATTCAGACGTCTTTTTGCCCCAAGTTTTTTGTGAACATCCGTTAAGACGTTCTCTATGGAGCCAGTTAATCCTGAAGATCAAAAAGACCCATTTTGAAGGTCAAACGAGTCTAGAAGAAGGTAAACCCCTCATATTATCAATTTTTATGTGCTATAGTGCACTATCCTTTTTTGGTGATCCAAAATTCTGATGACTTTTTTATCTAGATTTTTCGTGGACGTCTGTTAAGACGTTAGTAATGGAACCAATTGGCCTTCACGGCAAAAACAACCCAATTTGAAAATCAAACGAGTCCCGTAGCAGGTAAACCCCCCTCTATTTTTCCGATATTCATGTGCCTTAGTCTATGGGTTTTTGTTATCCAGAATTTCGACGTCTTATTTACTAAAATTTTTCTTGGGCATATGTTAAGACGTTAGCTATCGAGCCAGTGTGCCCTAACGGTCAAAATGACCCATTTTCAAGGTGAAACGATCCATGGAGCATGTAAACCCTATTTTGCCGATTTTCGTGTACTATAGTCCATGGATTTTTGGTGAGCTGGAATTCCGACATTGTTTTTGCCAAAATTTATTGTGGATGTACGTTAAGATGTTATCATTGTAGCCAGTTACTCCTGACGGCCAAAACGACCCATTTTGAAAGTCAAACAATCACCAGACTAAGTAAACCCCTCATTTTGCTGATTTTCATGTGCTATAGTCCACTATCTTTTTTGGTGATCCAGAATTTTGACGACTTTTTTATCTAAATTTTTTTGTGGACGTCCGTGAAGACATTAGCTATGGAGCTAGTTGTCCCTAACAACCAAAATAACCCATTTTGAAAGTCAAACGAGCACTGGAGCAGGTAAACCCCCCATTTTGCCGATTTGCGTATGCTATAGTCCATGGATTTTTGGTGATCCAGATTTCCAATGTATTTATTGCTCAACGTTTTTGTGGATGTCCGTAAATAAGTTATTTCTGGAGCCATTTAGACCTGACGGCCAGAACGACTCATTTTCAAGGTCAAACGAGCCCCGAAGCAGATTTTAATGTAATATAATACATGGATTTTTGGTTATCCAGCGTCTTTTTTGCCCAAATTTTGTGGTGTCCGTTAAAACATTATCTATGGAGCCAGTTGGCCCTGGCGGCCAAAATATCTCATTTTGAAGGTCAAACGAGCACCAGAGAAGGTAAATCCCTCATTTTACAGATTTTCATGTGCTAGTCCACGATCTTTTTTGGTGATCTTGAATTCCGATGTCTTTTTTCCCAAACTTTTTATGGACGTTCATTAAGATGTTAGTTATGAAGCCAATTGACCTTGATGGCTAAAACGATCCATTTTGAAGGTTAAATGAGCTCCCGAGCAGGTAAACCCTCTATCTTGTCGATTTTCATGTACTATAATCCATGAATTTTTGGTGATCCGGAATTCCAACTTTTTTTTCTCAAATTTTTTTGTGGATGGACGTTAAGACGTTATCTATAGAGCCAATTGACCCCTGATGGACAAAACGATCCATTTTGTAAGTCAAATGAACCCCGAAGTAGGTAAACCTATTTGCCATTTTTTGTGTATGATAGTCCATTGATTTTCGGTGATTCAGAATTTTGACTTCTTTTTCGCCCACATTTTTTATGGATGTGCATTAAGAAGTTATCTATGAAGCCAGTTGGCCCCTGATGGCTAAAAAGGCCCATTTTGAAGGTCAGATGAGCCCCGAAGCATGTAAACTTCTCATTTTATCAATTTTTGTGTGCTATAGTTCACAATCTTTTTTAGTGATCTAGAATTCCAACATATTTTTTGCCTAAATTTTTTGTAGACGCCTGTTATAACATTTTTAATGGAGCCATTTGGCCCTAACGACAAAAACAACTCATTTTGAAGGTCAAGAGCCCAGAGTGAGTAAACATCCAATGTTGCCAATTTTCATATGCTATAGTCCATAGATTTTTTGTAATCTAGAATTCTGATGATTTTTTTGCTTAAATTTTTTGTGGATGTCCATTAAGGCGTTATCTATAGAGCCATTTGCCTTGACGGCTAAAACGATCCATTTTCAAGGTCAAACGAGCCCCGAAGTAGGTAAACCCCATTTTGTTGATTTTCTTGTACTATAGTCCATAGATTTTTGGTGATCCAGAATTCTAACGTCTTTTTTGCCCAAATTTTTTGTGGACGTCCATTAAGTCATTATCTAAATAGTCAGCTAGCCATGACGATGAAAATAATCTATTTTGAAGGTCAAACGAACCCTAGAGAAGGTAACCCCCCATTTGGCCGATTTTCGTGTGCTATAGTCCACGATCTTTTTTTGTGATCAAGAATTCCGACGTCTTTTTTGCCCAAATTTTTTTGTGAACATTCATTAAGAATTTAGATATGGAGTCAGTTGGTCATAACGGCCAAAACAATCAATTTTAAAGGTCAAACGAGCCATGGAGTAGGTAAACCCCTCATTTTGCCAATTTTTATGTGCTATAGTCCATGGATTTTTAGTGATCCAGAATTTGACGATCTTTTTGCTCAATTTTTTATGCATGTCCGTTAAGACGTTATCTATGAATTCGTTTTTCCATGAACTCCAAAACAATCCATTATAAGTCAAACGAGCCCCGAAGCAGGTAAACCCCATTTCTGTGATTTTCATGTAATAAAATTCATAAATTTTGGTAATTCAAAATTTCGACATCTTATTTGCCCAATTATTTGTGGACACTTGTTAAGATGTAATCTATGATCTAGTTGGCTCTAACGGTCAAAACAACCAATTTTGAAGGTCAAATGAGCATTGGAGTATGTTAACCCCCCAATTTGTTGATTTTAGTGTACTATAGTTCATATATATTTGGTGATCCAAAATTCGAACATCGTTTTTTGCCCAAATTTTTTGTCGACGCACATTAAGACGTTATCTATGGAACCAGTTGGCCCCGACAGCCAAAACGGCCCATATTGAAGGTCAAATGAGCCCCAAAGTAGGTAAAACCCTCATTTTGCCAATTTTTGTGTGGTATAGTCTCTAATCTTTTTGGTGATCCAAAATCCGATATTATTTGCATAAATTTTTGTAGACATCCATAAAGAGGTTAGATATGGAGCCAGTTGGCCTAACAACCATAAAGACTCATTTTGAAGGTTAAACGAGTCTCGGAGTAGGTAAACCTCTCATTTTATCGATTTTTGTGTCCATGGATTTTCGGTGATTCAGGAATCTGACATTTTTTTTGCTCAAATTTTTTGTGGACGTCCGTTGAGATGATAGTTATGGAGTAAGTTGTCTCTGATGACCAAAATGATCAAATTTCAAGGTCAAACGAACCACAAAGCAGGTAAATCCCATTTTATCGATTTTCGTGTACTAGTCCTGGACTTTTGGTGATCCGGAATTCCAACATTTTTTTTTCTAAATTTTTTGTGGACGTCTATTGTATCATCATCTATGCAGCCAATTGGCCCTGATGGTCAAAACTTCCCATTTTGAACATCAAACGAGCCCTGAAGAAGGTAAACCCCTCATTTTGCTGATTTTTATGTGCTATTGTCGATGATCTTGTTTGGTAATCCAGAATTCTGATGTTTTTTTTCCCAAATATTTTTTTGAAAGTCCGTTAAGACGTTAGATATGGAGTCAGTTGTCCATAATGTCCAAAATGACCTATTTTGAAGATCAAACGAGCCCCGGAGAAGGTTAACCCCTCATTTTTTCTGGTTTTCGTGTGCTATAGTCCATAGATTCTTTGTGGTCCAGATTTCCAATGTCTTTTTTGTTCAAATTTTCTGTGGACGTCCATTATGACGTTAGCTATGGATCTAGTTGGCTCTGACGCCCAAATTAACTGATTTTCATGGTCAAATGAGTCCCAAAGCCTGTAAACCCTATTTTTTTTTTATTTTTGTGTATTATAGTTCATGAATTTTTAGTGATCCAGAATTCAGACGTCTTTTTTGTCCAAGTTTTTTGTGGACGTCCGTTAAGACGTTCTCTATGGAGTCAGTTGGCCCTGACGACCAAAAAAGCCCATTTTGAAGGTCAAACGAGCCTAAAAGCTGGTAAATCTCTTATATTGCCAATGTTTGTGTGCTATAGTGCACAATCCTTTTTTGGTGATCCAAAATTCTGACGACTTTTTTACCTAGATTTTTTGTGGATGTCCGTTAAGACGTTAGCAATGGAACCAGTTGGCCTTCACGACCAAAACAGCCCAATTTGAAGGTCAAACGAGCCCCGGAGCAGGTAAAACTCCCCTTCATTTTTCCAATTTTCACGTGCCTTAGAATACTTGGTGATCCATAATTTCAACGTCTTATTTACTAAAATTTTTCTTGGACATATGTTAGGATTTATGTTAAGAAGTTAGATATCGAGCCTGTGTGCCCTGACGGCACCCATTTTCAAGGTGATATGAGCCCCGGAGCATGTAAATCCCACTTTACCAATTTTTGTGTACTATAGTCCATGGATTTTTAGTGATCTAAAATTTCGACGTCATTTTTGCCAAAATTTATTGTGGATGTAGGTTAAGATGTTATCATTGTAGTCAATTACCCCTGACGGTCAAAATGGTCCATCTTGAAAGTCAAACGATCCCTGGACTAGATAAACCCCTCATTTTGCTAATTTTCATGTGCTATAGTTCACTATCTTATTTGGTGATCAGAATTCCGATTTTTTACCCAAATTTTTTGTGGACGGTCGTTAAGATATTAGGTATGGAGCGAGTTGGCCCTAACGGCCAAAATAACCCATTTTGAAGGTCAAACGAGCACTGGAGCGGGTAAACCCCTTATTTTGCCATTTTGCGTATGCTATTGTCCATGAATTTTTTATGATCCAGATTTACAACATCATTATTGCTTAAATTTTTTGTGGATGTTCGTTACAATGTTACTTATACAGCCAATTAGTCTTGACGGCTAAAACGATCCATTTTGAAGGTCAAACAAGCTCATGAGCAGGTAAACCTCCATCTTTCCAATTTTCATGTACAATAGTCGATTAATTTTTGGTGGATGTCAGTTAATACGTTACCTACGGAGCTATTTGTCCCGACAGCCAGAACGGACCATTTTCAAGGTCAAACGAGCCCCGAAGCAGTTAAACCCCATTTTGCCAATTTTTATGTACTATAGTCCATAGATTTTTGGTTATTTAGAATGCCGACGTCTTTTTTTTCCAAATTTTTTGTGGCATCAGTTAAAAAATTATCATGGAGTCAGTTGGCCCTTACGGTCAAAACGTCCCATTTTTAAGGTCAAACGAGCTTCAGAGAAGGTAAACCCCTTATTTTGCTGATTTTCATGTGCTATAGTCCATGATCTTCTTTGGTTATCCTGAATTTCGATGTTTTTTTTTGCCCAAACTTTTTGTGGATGTGCGTTACGATGTTAGTTTTGGAGACAATTAGTCGGCTAAAACGACCCATTTTGAAGGTCAAATGAGCTCACGAGTGGGTAAACCCCTATCTTGCCGATTTTCATGTACAATAGTCCATGAATTTTTGGTGATTTGAAATTCTAACTTATTTTTTTCCAAAACTTTTCCTGGGCGTCCGTTAAGACGTTATCTATAGATTCAGTTGGCTCGTGATGGCAAAAAATGATCCATTTTGTAGGTCAAACGAGCCTCGAAGCAGGTAAACCCCATTTGCCATTTTTGTGTATGATAGTCCATTGATTTTTGGTGATCCAAATATTTGACGTCTTTTTCGCTCAATCTTTTTATGGACATACGTTAAGAAGTTATCTATGAAGCTAGTTGGCCCTGATGGTCAAAAAGACTCATTTTGAAGGTCAAACGAGTCCCGAAGCATGTAAACTACTCATTTTGTCAATTTTCATTGCTATATATAGTCCACAATCTTTTTTGGTGATCCAGAATTTCAACGTATTTTTTACCTAATTTTTTGTAGACATCTATTATGACGTTTTTAATGGAACCATTTGGCCCTAACGTCTGTTTTGACGTTTTATTTGTCCAATTTTTTTGTGGACGTTTATTAAGATGTTTCTATGGATCCAGTTATATCTAACGGCTAAAACGATCCATTTTGAAGGTCAAATGAGTCCAGAGCAGGTAAACCCCTTATTTTGTCGACTTTCGAGTTCATAGTCCATAATCTTTTTTGATGATCTAGAATTCGACGTCCTTATGAATAAAAATTTTTGGGACGTCCGTTAAGACAGTAACTATGGAGAGATTTGGCTCAAACGACCCATTTTGAAGGTCAAACAAACCTCAAATCAGGTAAACCCCCAATTTTACATATTTTCGTGTGCTATGGTCCTTGAATTTTTGGTGATCTAGAATTTCAACGTCTTCAATGCTCAAATTTTTGGTGGACATTCGTTAAGACGTTAGCTATGGAGCCAATTGGCCTTGATGGTCAAAATATCCCATTTCCTAGGGCAAACTAGCCCCGAAGCAAATAAACCCCCTTTTATTACTTTTCGTGTAATATAGTCCATGAATTTTTGGTGATCGGGAATTTCGACGACTTTTTTGTATTAAATTTTTGTGGATGTCTATGGATCTAGTTGTCCCTGACGGTCAAACTGATCCATTTTGAAAGTCAAACGATCCCGAAATAGGTAAACCTCTCATTTTGCCGATTTTCGTGTGCTTTAGTCCATGACCTTTTTTGTGAACCAGAAATTTGACATTGTTTTTGCCTAATTTTTTTTGGACGTCTGACGTTAGCTATAGAGTCAGTTGACCCTGACGGTTAAAATGACCCATTGTGAAGGTCAAACGAGGCCCGAAGCAGGTAAATCCCATATTTTATCAATTTTCCCGAGCTATATTCCGTGGATCTTCAGTGATCCAGAATTCCAACATTTTTTTGCTCAAATTTTTCGTAGACGTACGTTAAGACATTACATATAGAGTCAGTTGACCCTGAAGGTTAAAACAACCAATTTTCAAGGTTAAACGAGCTCCGAAGCAAGTAAATACCATTTTTCCAATATTCATGTACTATTGTGCATGAATTTTTGGTGATCCAGAAATCTGACGTCTATTTAGTCCAAATTTTTTGTGGACGTCCGTTAATATGTTATCTATGGGGCTAGTTCTTCCAAACGGCAAAAAGAGCCCATTTTGAAAGTCAAACTAGTCCCAAAACAGGTAATCACCTCATTTTACTGATTTTCATGTGCTATATTCCACAATCTTTTTATGGTGATTCATAATTTCGACGTCTTATTTGTCCAAACTTTTTGTGGACGTCCGTAAAGACGTTAATTATGGAGTAAATTGGCCCTAACAGTCAAAACACTAATTTTGAAGGTCAAACGAGTGTTGTAGCAAAACCCCCTATTTTGTCGATTTTCGTATGCTATATAGTCCATGAATTTTTGGTGATCAAGAATTTTGACATCTTTCTTGCTGAATTTTTCCTGGACGTCCTTTAAGACGTTAGGTATGAAGCCATATTGCTCTGACGGCTAAAACGATCCATTTTCAATGTCAAACGAGCCCCGAAGTAGGTGAACCCCATTTTGCCTATTTTCGTGTACTATAGTCCATGAATTTTTGGCCCAATTTTTTTGTGGACATTCGTTAAAATGTTATCTATAGAGCCAGCTGGCCTTGACAGTCAAAACGACTCATTTTGAAGGTCAAACAAAATCCGGAGTAGGTAAACCCCCCATTTTGCCAATTTTCATGTGCTATAATTTGCAATCTTTTTTGGTGATCTAGAATTCTGATGTCTTTTTTTGCTAATTTTTTTGTGGACGTCCGTTAATACGTTAGCTACGTAGACGGCCAAAATGACCTATTTTGATGGTCAAATGAGCTTCGGAGCAGATAAATCCCCATTTTATCGATTTTCGTGTGCTATAGCACACCATTTTTTGGTTGATCCGGATTCCGACGTCAAAAATTCTAAATTTTTTCGTGGACGTCCATCAAGACCTTGTCTATGAATACAGTTGGCCATCACGGCTTGTCCGACCCATTTGGAAGGTCAAACGAGCCCCGAAGCGAGCATACCCATCATTTCGACGATTTTCGTGTGCTATAGCACACCATTTTTTGGG